ATGGTTGCAGACACTATTATGATAGTTTAATTGAATTAAATAGTAATAATTCCACGTATGACCATTATGTGAACTAATGCATCATGGTATACTAAACTGGGTCGCATATGAAAAGATCGAATAAATAGATTGGCGAATGAGGGATATTTGGATTTCTTCTCCAGTATAGACATGTCAACTTATGAACATTATCTTGTCGGAAGGATTACATATAAACCATCAGGGAAGGCTAAGAGAAATGGCTTCTCATTGCAATTAATCCATTCAAATGTATGTGATCCAATGAATATGAAGGCTAGGTTTTCTATGTTGCCTTTCATTATATTTATCGATGATTTCACGTACTTTCAATCATGTCTATTTGATTTTTCATAAATCTGAAGCACTTGAATGCTTTAAGAAATATTTGAATGAAGTTGTGAATCAATTAGACAAAAGGATTAAGACCTTAAGAATGGATAGAGGGCGTGAATATCTATCAAAAGAATTTTAAGAATTGTGTAACGAAAAAGGGCATTACTAGATAGTGAACTATTTCTTACACACCTCAATAAAATAGTATAGCATAAAGGAGGAAGAACACTATTGGACATGATAAGGTTCATGATGGAGCAGACAAATTTACCTATCTTCTTTTAGGGAGATGTGTTATTAACTGCAACCTACATGTTGAACAAAGTGCCTTCTAAATCAGTTTTTTTCACTTCTTATGAGATTTGGACTGGTTATAAACCAAGATAAAATAATTAAAAACCTTGGGGTTGTGTTGCATATGTAAAAGATTTTTTTTTTATCCTGTTTGATAAATTAGGACCAAATGACAAGAAATTTATCTTTAAAAGATATTCAGAACACTCCAAGGGAAATGTGTTCATTAATGAATTAGAGGATGAAAGTGTTACTGAGATTGAATCACGAGATGTCACGTTTCATGATTTGCCAAAGAAGGGAGAGGTAAAGAATGACGAGTCTCTTTATGAAATGTTGAACTAAGCTATCATCAAGTGTCTTTTGATACGGTTGATAATCAATTGATCAAGATCTTGTTCTTGACCCGAGTGGGAGTGGGAATTCTTAATCCCAAAATCCTTCTGACAAACCTAAATTTCAACTATTAAAGAGTACCAGGAAAAATATATCCAAACATACTTATGAGATTGAAGATTATATTTTGTTGGTATCTCCTACAGAAATGGATGAGCAACAATTCGTGACTAAGGCTTTATCGAGTCTTGAAAAAGCTGAATGGATGAAAGAAATGAAAGAAGAACTGAAAACCAACAAAGTCTGATATCTAGTTAACCTTCCACTTGTGCGTAGACCCATTGAAAACCAATGGGTTCTCAAACTTAAACGCAAAGCGATTGGATCAATAGAAAGATACAACGCTTGATTGGTGGCAAAAGACTTTACTCAAGAAGCTGGAATAGATTATGAGGATACATTTTCACTGGTTGTGAAGTTTACCTCAATTTGCTTATTTTTGGCTATTGTTGCACGTTTGGATTTGGAATTACACCAAATAGACGTGAAGACAACTTTTCTCAATGGAGAATTAGATGAGGAGATCTATATGGAACAACCTGTAGGTTTCATCATTAAAGGCCAAGAAAAAAAGGTAAGTAAATTGAAACATAAAATCTTGTTATGGCCTGAAGAAGTCTTAAAGGTAATCGTATTTGAGAATTCACAAAGAAATGATCTCGTATGATTTCACATTGATCAACAAAGACCATTGTATCTATGTGAGAAGTCCTACGAAATGTTTGTAATTCTTTCTTTTTACGTGGACGATATTTTATTGGCCGAAAATAATTTAGAGTATGTGAAACCTATCTAGTCATGACTTTCAAAGTCATTTCACATGAAATATATGGGTGAGACAGACTATATTCTTGGAGTTAAGATCCATAGAGATCGTTCCAAGAAGTGCTTGAGTCTATCTAAAGAAACTTATATGGAGAAAGTTTTGGAACGCTTCCAAATAAATAGTTGCAAACCCATGGATACTCCTATAGCGAGAGGTGAAATTTAAGCCTTGAAATGTGTCTAAAGACTCAAAGAAAACAATGTCATGTCTCGAGTTCTATACTCAAGTGCAGTTGGGCACTTGATGTACACTATGATGTGTACCCAAACATTTGGTATACCATATGTGTGTTAAAAAGTATCAATCCAATTTTGGAAGAAAATATTAAAAAGAAATGATGAGAATTTTTCAATACCTAAAGAAAATTGCAAATTATTCACTATATTATAGTGAAAATGATTTATTCTTCAAAGAGCATATAGATGTGAGAGACATCATGTCAAGTGAAGAAATAACATTACAATACATACCTACGCAAAAACAATAGTTGATCCTCTTACAAAAAACAATATCTAGAGACATATTTGATAAACGAATTGTGACTTCTAGGTTTATGAAGGATATGTAAGTATTTGTGTATTGTAAAATATTTTGATTTATTGTTATATACTTATCAATATATTATTATTATTATTATTATTGAGATTGTATTGATATTCTATAGCATGTGATGGTACCCTAAGGATATAAGTGTGTCGAACAAGTCGCGAGTTTGGATCTCTCACACGAGCGATCCCCTCTGACATCGAGGAACGTGCAGAGATGAGACCTACTAAAACTTGATAGTGCAAGGTCATGTATATCTTTGGATAAACTGGTCGGTCTTGACTAGAGCTCAGACTAATGGATTCCACCATCCTTTTGACTTATTTTATAAACCAGATGCGAGTTTCTCAAAGGATGGATTGAGGATTGTTTTAACGAAAAACTTGGGTTAGACATCTGGTGATGTCTAGACCAAGATCTGTACGGTGTTGAACGAGTAAAAGAATGAGACACATGCACCAATATAAGGTGAGAACACCGTAGCGTATATTTCATACCACATGTTCTAGCGACCAGTGGGATGATAGAAGAATGAATCCCCGCTTCTTTATTGTGTAAGATCTCAAAAAGTTATTTTTACTTTTATTGGAATACCCTTTGACCTTATGCCGTTTCTTGAAGTGCCGATCGGAGTTGCTACTTTAGCACGTCACTAATAGCCATGAGTGATTCGGTAATGCAGTACATGTCTAGTAAAGTAGTTGATTTGGAATGGATAGCTTCGAGTAGAAAGGGAAGACAATTAAAGTAAGTAATTTAACTTGTATCCACAGGTCGACCATTATGCTTTCCATGAGGGTGTCAAGTGTAATTGTGGGTACAATGTTATACATGAACTCGAGTTCACCTCTTTTTTCGAGGATGAGGGATCGGATAACTAGCTAGCTATTGGAGTAGCAAATGATGTTTGGGGTATTGCGAGTAATAAGATCCTCTTGTTTAGTAGTTAATTCTTTCCGCATGTGATTGGATTCCTACATGTAGCTATTGTGTAACATTGATAGGTATAGCTCTTGATGCTCGCAAGTCGCACGAACTATTTGTCAATATGAATTATGTGTTTTATTGATATGATACCTTTTTGGGTTTATCCCACCATGTGCGAAGTGGGAGATGTTAGAAATTGGATCATGGGTCGCTCATGTGGGCCAACCTGACCAGGTTAGGAGCAAAAGGATAAGTGAGAGAAGTTAAAGAAAGTTACCACACCCACCAATACTACCTCTAAAACTAACGTGTATAAGGGGTGGGGTAAAAACTTTCTGAATGTGAACTTCTTTGCAATAGAAAAAGAAGAATCCAAAAAGGCAAAACTTGCTCTCTTCTCCTCTTTGAACAGAGAAAAGATTTCTCTGGCTTTACCTCCCAAAAACACACACAATGAGGACATCTAGTTCGTGAGATACTAACTCCGTTTCCTAGTGAATCGAAGTTTGACTTGGAGCAACTTCTTCGCTGGTGAGTTCAATGATCTCCGTTATGTCAAAAAGGTACACAACTTATTGTTCTCGACTCTCAGATTAATCCTATAATAATCGTTTGCAACAACACTCAATGCGAATAAATAATAGTTCTGTAAACTCGATTTTCAAATTCAAAACTTGGAACCTTTTTAGTGGTTGTCAATCGAGCTTTTAATGAATTTTAATTGTATTTACTATTTTTGATGTCTACTCTACGGTATCTAAAACACAATATCTTTAATTTGCTTAGTTGAGTCTATGAGCTTGAAGTTTTAGTTATTGATGCGATGAAACAAAAATTTCCATTTACATGCATAAATTTGAAATTGCAACATCCAAATAATTGGAGATAAAATCAGTTATCGTATTTTAACCGGAGAGAAAGAAAGTCTTTAAATTCTTTGGGAGGCATGAGAAAGAGAAAAAAGGGAAGAGAAAATAGGAAAGATTGGAGCCTAAAATGGGAACGATTAGAACATAATCTCTTGATCTCTTACTTCATATAATTGATAAATATAGTTATGCTAGGCAATTGAATACGAACCTCCCTAATTATAGTAATTAAATTTATAGCTATAGTACTACCAATTACTTTCTCCGTTGTAATTTCTCTGACATAGTTTGACACCCACGATATTTACGAAAGAAAAATGATTATTGAAACTTATGAATTTAAACATGTCATCCTCTTTGCTCCACGATGAAATTAGAAGACAAGCTATTATCCATTCCCTTAATTGGCAAAAAGCCAAGATTTTATTATACTAGTTGCTTACTTAAATTGTCGTTTAACGTTGTCGGTTTATTTCGGGTGAATCTAGGTAACCTTTTCATATGGCCGTACCTTTTTACACACTACGAAATTGATTCACTTCCAAGATACTTGAAGTATAGGTTATTGGGATTTGGGGCAATACTATGATTCTATATGTTGACTTTCTTTCTCTTCTTAACATTTGTTTCTATGGACAAATGCATCCTCAAAGTTTCCGAAGAAAGGTATTGCTTCTTATCGAGGCCATCCAAAATGAAAGAAATGCTAAACCCTAAAGTGTGATCTTGCGGCTGATAAATTTTGCAAAGCAACTTCAGACTTTGGATTTTGCATCCAATATGTTCAAATTCCTTTCGACTTACAAATATGGTACAATGATTCATTTTCCTATACTGGACCCTCCCCCTGCCCCTATTCTATTCCCCACAAGGACAGGAAATATATAGCCAAACACTAAAAAAAAGGCCATAATAATATGCTCGCGAGCAAAGCTCCCTGGAAAGAGCTCTCAATTTCATTGCTTTTGTGCACCTTCTTTTCCTACACTTTTGCTTACACTTTCACCATTACTAACAACTGCCCTTTTACAATATGGCCTGGTACACTGGCTGGCGCGGGAACCCCTCCACTTCCCGCGACTGGCTTTCGATTAGATGCTGGCCAAAGCATCACAATTCCAAGTGTACCAGGTTGGTCAGGTCGAATTTGGGCAAGAACTGGCTGTACTTTTGATGCATCTGGAATTGGTTCTTGTCAAACAGGTGATTGTGGTGGAAAGCTCGAGTGTAGCGGTCTTGGCGCCGCGCCACCTGCCTCTCTCTTTGAGATAACTCTGGGTGTTGGAGACAACAAAGACTTCTATGATGTGAGCATTGTGGACGGATACAATCTGCCATTGGTTGCAGTGCCCCAAGGAGTCAATGGAGGATGCAATGCCACTGGTTGTCTGTCAAATCTTAACATGGGTATGTTCTCAAATTAGCTGATGCTTGAATTAGTTTAAGGACTCTGCCTATATGCCACAGAGAATACTAGTCTCAAGTTCGTTTAAAAGATAAGAGTTGCAGTAGGTTCGCAACAATATGCCAAATTAGCCTACGGAAATATAATCCAACCAACTGTCCAAATTTGGACGAGTTAGACTAGGCATTTATTCATTAGCGGGTCAATTCAGGCATAACCCACGTTTAGGGGTGGCAATGGGGCGATGTGAGTTTGGTCTTATGCGGGATGGGGCAGGTTTGGTCGGATGCAGGTGCGGGGCGGGGTGGGCTAAGAACTTTTTTTTTCCAGAATCTAGTGCGAGGTGGTGCGGGTTGTGGGCTTTCTCCCTTCACATTTAAAACCAACTCAGTGACTCCGTTGGGAAGAAAACTGCTTCAGTTTGCTCATGAGATTAAATCTGAACATATCTGGATCTTATTTAGGAAGAAAAATTAGATCCGGAGGTTATCTAGATTTCAATGCTAATTTAGAATTCACGTTTCAAACGTTTTCATTCAAGAAAATCAATCAGAAAGCCATTAAAATTCATTATTGCCAATGATGTTTGGAATCGTGATTTCCAATTAAATGTTCCCATCTTTGTGAGTAAATTTAATATTTACCAAGTTGGTGTGTTTAGATTTTAGAAGGTTAAATTGATTTTTTGTTTCTTTTTGAGTCTAAATACTAGTAGAGTGAAAATAAATTAAGTTGGGATACAGGATTACTGTGTCCCCTTCTACGTTGCGTATGTAATAAAAAAGAAGCGAGAAACAGAGATAATGAAACATTCTTAAGATGATGTGGTATATGGGTTTGTGTATACAAAAGAAAATAATTCTTTAACTCATACAAGTTGTATAAGTAAAATATAAACTAATTGATCTTGACGGAGGTTTTTATATTTCTAATTTAGCTTTCATAGTGTAAAAATAACATATATACTTTATTCAAATATAAAAAGTAAAAAGGCAAATAGTTATTGTGATATCAAAGATTTTTGTTAAGTAACTTCTATTTTATATGTGCAAGATTTATTTCGTAAATTTCTTATCTTCTTCTTCCTTAGCTGAAGCCTCCTGTAATCTTTAAAATTAATAAAAAGTACTATGAGTATATATGTAAAAATGTAAACAAATTCTAGCCAAAAATTTAAAATAATAAAACTAACAAAATTAAAAAAAAAAAATACTTAAGCGGGGCAGGGCGGGGCAAGTTGAAATTTTGCGGGTCAAGATAGAAGGGAGAATGACACAGTTGCCCACAAAAATAAACTTTTTACCCGTGTCTATCTATTTGTTTTTCTACCCATAAACTAATTACATTTCCTACCCATAGTAGTTTTTGTGTGGAATTTTTTCTTTATTCTCCAATTCTTTTTTATTTCTATCATTCTTTTCTTTTCTTTTTTCTTTTTTTTTCTTTTCTCCTTTTCTTTTTTCTCGTTTTCTTCTTATTTTTTTCTTTTTTCCTTTTCTAATTTCATTTAACTTCTTTTTTTTATATTCTTTTTTCTCTTCATAATCTAATTTCATTTACTGTTTTCACTATTTTTTATTATTCTTCTTTTATACTATTACTAAAGAAAAATCAAATTGTGTACCAATTAAATATAGCTAATACAATAAAAAAATATTAATTAACATATGATATCAATACAGTATATAGCTATACCAACAGGGTATACAATTGTACGCAAAGAGTTGAAAAAAAAATTAATTCAATTATTAAACTGAAATAATATCAGTTATCAATAAAAATTTAAAAAAATTCTGAAAGGATCTAATTGTAAGAGTATATCGTTACATTATATAGTATACTATAACTTTTTAACTTTTTATTTTCTTGCATTTTTAATTTTTCCCTCACGCTGGGTAAAAGCTTAAAGCAAATTAAAAGGGAAAAGGCAAGTGAATTATGGGTAATAAGTATACTATTATTGTATATTGTATACTATTACAGCATACTTTTACAGTATATTGCATATTATTATAGTATACTATAAGAATATATTGTATACTATAATATGTACACTGTTGCAGTATAACTATATAATCCTATAGTATATTGTATACTGTAACGGTATCTGTTAGGTAGTTGTGTTCTTCTTCGATTATTACAATATACCATTGCAGTATATTGTATACTATAATAGTATATTGTTGCAGTATAGCTATATACTCCTACAGCATATTGTATACCGTAGCGGTATACTATTGGGTAGCTGTGTTCTTCTTCGACTATCAGTTGCATAAAGGAAAATTAAAACAATTCAAGATAGTATACTATTCTACTGTTACTGAAGAAAAATCAAATAGTGTACCAATTAAATATAGTTAATACAACCAAAAAATATTTCAACTAACATATGATACCAGTATAGTATATAGCTATACCAACAGAGTATACAATTATACACAAAGAGTTTAATTTTTTTAATTCAATTATTAAACTGAAATAATATCAGTTGTCACATAATCTAATTCTTGCAGTTTATGTTGAACTCGCACTATTCTTGCTGTTTATCTTAGCCCCGGGCCTCAGACTCTGGTTACTGTTATTGCATGTCATTCATCTTTTGGTTTTTATGCTTCTGTTACTATAACGGTTTCTACTGGAGTTACTAATGAATTCCCTTTTCTTGTTTTTTTATTTCCGTCTTCCTGAGCCGAGGGTCTATCGAAAACAGCCTCTCTGCCCTATCGGGGTAGGGGTAAGGTCTGCGTACACATTACCCTCCCCAGACCCCACTATGTTGGAATTTTACTAGGTAGTTGTTGTACATAATCTAATTAACTCAACAACCAATTAAGTAATCGGGTGTTCTTTGGTGATTTGTACGAGGATCGCGCGTGATGTCGAATAAAAATCTCATATAGAGAAAGCCAAAATCTATCGAACTCAATGAGATTGAGAGTTTTGAGAAGAAACTATTGAAACCCTAATTTTATTTTATTTTTTATATAGATTTACTTTATAGCTTTGTTTTTTCTAGAATACATGAAAAAAAGTGGATAGAAAAAGTGGATTGATCAAAGATTATAGGGAGGAATATAATCCAATTAGAGAAAGTGAACAAAGAGAAAGGGAGAAGAAAAATATAGAGAAAAAGTACAAGGCAACTTTAAACTGCATAGTTGCCATAGAAAAATAAATAAGAAAAATGGGTACACGGGTAAATAGTTTTGGTCGGCTAGGTGTATAGCATAACTATTTTGAGAGTAGGCGGGTAATTAGTTTGTCTTTAATAGGTATATAGCATAAATTGCACTAAAATGCGCCCTGCCCCTTACTGTTTGCCATCCCTACCCACGTTAGTCCATTTAAAGCTTGGGCCGATTTGGGAAGCTTGTGTCGCCCAAATTAACATAAGAAAGCTTATACAAACACGGAAAAAATATTTTTGGGTTTGGTTGGTTATATATAGTATTGAACTCATGATAAACAAAAGAAAAGGCTAGTATTAGTTTGATTTGGTGATTAACCAAATTATAAAAGAACAACTAAACAAATGAAAAATGATTTTGAGTTGGATGGGTTGAATTATGTCGTTAAAATATCATGGTATAGCCAGTTTTCACACTGGTCAAAGAAAAATAGCCAGCGTTTATCAAGTCAATGAAAAATAGCCACTATTTTGCTGCAACAGGGACCGGTCCAGTATAATATACGGGAGTTCTGGTGCATTTGTGTACGAACTCCAGCATATTATGCTGGACCGGTATACTTTGCTAACTCCTGTAAAATTTGCGGGAGACTGGAGCACCAGTGCTCCAAACTCCAGTATATTATACTGGACAATTATACTTGCTGGAACTCCCGTAAAATTTGCGGGAGTTCCAGCATAATTATGCTTGAACTCCCGTAAAATTTGCGGGAGTTCCAGCATAGTTATCCTGGTACTCCCGTAAAATTTACGGGAGTTCAAGCATACTTATGCTGGAACTCCCGTAAAATTTGCGGGCGTATTTTTCCGAATTTTGAACAGTGTTTTCGCTCAGATTTAAAGTGGCTAAATTTCGATGACTTTTGAAACTTGGCTATTTTTCAACGACCAGTGGTAAATCTGGCTATTTTTGAATTTCTCCCAATTATGTCTCATTATTTAGTCCAAATTGACCCGTACATCTTGATCCTGAATTGGTTAATTTATTCAACCCGTTTTAACTCTCTAAGACTTAGCACATCCTGTCCATTTGACCCTCGTTCACAACCAGCACTATGGTAGCTCGGCTATCTGAATCATATTCTGTAATAATTCAGCCGAATATGATTCATATAGCCGAGCCTAACTATTTTAGGATTACAAGATTGAGTTATCATAGAAGCATTTAACATAATTAAGAAATAACAATCCATTTGTAAAATGGAACAGGTTGTCCAAAAGAACTTCAGGTGGTGGGTGGAATTGGAGAGGGAGAAGGGAATGTGATCGGTTGCAAGAGTGCATGCGAGGCGTTTGGTTTAGACCAGTATTGCTGTGCAGGACAGTTCGCAAATCCAACAACTTGCCAACCATCTTTCTATTCCAGCATCTTTAAAAATGCTTGTCCCAGGGCTTATAGTTATGCATTTGATGATGGCACTAGCACTTTCACCTGCAAGGCTTATAACTATGCAATCATCTTCTGTCCCATGAATGGGTACGTAATAGTATCTCATAAAAACTTTTATCAAGTTATCAATGACAAATAACTATTCTTATGTTATGTATGTATTATATATTTCCATCCTTGTTTACCAGTAATAGTGAATTTGATTTGAAACAGGGTAAAGAGACCAAATGAAGCATCAACAGTTCCGGCTCCGGCTATTGAAGTGAGCAGAAGAGGAAAGTTTGCAGGGGCGGCTTCATCGTCAAACATTCTCCTTCCTTTTCCAATGCTGATTCTGCTGCTAATTTCCATCTTATATTTCTAAGCATCAACCAACTGTTCAGCAGAAGAAGAGGACATTCAGTATTAATGAATTGGATGCATGATAGAGAGCCAGAAGAATGGTACCTCAAGGAAAAGCTGGGCATCCCGTAGAAAATTTACTAGGCTACCTATGATCTCTCAAAAATATAAGTAGTTTCTTGCTTGGTCACAGTGCCATTTTTTTTAAGCATTATTTAAGTAAGAAGTCTTACATTGAACATTACAAATAAAGAGAGGTTGATCAAGTGTGGTACATGGTTAAACTCAGCCAAGAAGCATTTAAATTCACCAGTAATTCTCATAAGTGAAAAGAAAAAGCAAATAATATCCATCACAAGCAAATAAGCTTGTCTGTGTCAATCTTCGATCCAGCCAGATTTGTTTTTTCTTGAGTTTCCTGTTTTACCTTTTGCATAGCTTTTATTTCCTGTCTGTCTGTCCTGCCCTTCTTTTGTTACACCAACAAGTGATGTTATTACACTATTATTCATTTTCTCTCGGAAGAAACTCCAACTATCTTGGAGAAACGCACCTCTAAACCTAGCAAGTTTAATGGTAGATTACAAACAATTTATCAGTATACTAAGTATTCACCAGAAAATTGAAGTAATTAACTGCTGGTGATAAACAAAAGGAACAGAAAATATTACTGTATGGTCTTTTACCCCATACACTAACCCAATTACCCATGCTCAAAACAAAATCCTTTATTTTTTTAACCCAACCGGTGACCCATTTACACGACCCGCCCCAGTCCCGTTTTAAAATCCTGACCTTTGATCTCTAAGATCAACGGCCTACAATTAATCTACCCCTTTTAATTACCCCCTTTCACCCAAAACCCTAACCCATTTTCCCCTTTACCCACCGCCTTCATATGCTCTCTACTATCTCTTCTTCTCTGAAGAAACCCTAGCGCCATTAACGTATAATCTCCTCCAAATCCGGCCCCAAAACGGAATCCACCATGCATTTTCTTGCCTTATTTACCTCCTCTCACTACTGGTTACTCGTTTATGGTGTTACCTAGTTGCTTGCCTAAACATGGCAAGCGGAGCTCTTCAATTTCAAACCAAAACTGGTTCAGTTCCTTGACCTTTTCCGTCTGTGTTCTTTTATGGTATGAATCTCTATGAATCGCTGTGTATATTTGAGATTCTTACATACCCTAAAACTAGGATTTTCAGATCTCTTTAGATCGAACCAAAATTGGTTCGATTCCCTGATTTTAAGTGTTATTATGTCTATGTTCGTCCTATATTCTACCATGTGACCGATTTTTGTTATATTTTTGTCAATATTCACTTGCCCTAAAACTAAGGTTTCAGACTTTTCCTTTTTCCTTACTGGTTCTGATGAATTTTTCCTTTTCTGTGTTCGATTACTCTCTTTCCTTGTATTTCCCTAATTTTTACTTTAGTATTTGCTTTAAATATTCTGACCGATTTTTTTGTTTTTCCCTAATTTTTACTTCTAGTATTTGCCTTAAATATTCTGAACAATAATTTTGCGTGTTTCCCTGATTTACTGAATCTTTGATTTGTGCCCTAAATTACCTCCAATTGATTTTGGAATATTTTCTTTCTAACCTACTTGCATCTGAATGATTTGTTTCCATGATTATGTGTCAAATTCTACCACTATATAAACCCCTCCCTATTCCCATTTAAGACAAGACTGGAATTGGTAATACTCACTAAAAACTGAAGTTAATACTCTTGTTCTCTCATATTCTTGTTCTATATTCTGATTCCTGGACGGTTGAAAGCCAAGGCCAGAAATTCTGGGTTTTGCTACTGTGGACTTTGTTCTTTCTTGTTTTTTGCTTAACTGGTGAGTTATTGAACCCCTTGCAATTCCATTCCTATGTATCTGTAGCTTGCATGTGTTTTCACTTCTGAAGTTCATAGCTTAATGCGCCTTTTGGGCTATTCTTGTATGCAATTCTGACTATATTACTCAATGTTATGCCTTTCTAGTCTAAATTCTATTACGTTTGCGGTTTGAAACATGCCTGGACCTGAGTTAATTAAGTTTTCTTTAAGTTTGCCTAGCCTATGTGTTACTGATGTTTAGAACCTTTGCATTTTATCCCCTTTTTATGTGTTTGATTTTGGTAGCAATCCTGTCACTTAAGCATGCCTTACTTTCATAATTCTTGCAATGACCTGCTTTCATCCTGCTTGAATTCTGCTGCCAGTATATGATTCTCACTAGCATCTACACTTAACATAATTTTGAATCCCTTCTTTATTATGAGTATGTGTATACCAAACCTGCAAACCTATTTTATTAATGTGTGATTGCTTATGCACTAGATGTTGTTCTTCTAAATTGTTGCTAAGTCTGCTTTCAAAGCCTAAAGCCTGTCTGATTATTTGCTATGTGTGCTCAACTTGTACTCTTCAGTTCTGTCCCTCAGCTTTTGTCCGGTCTCCCTCATTATCACTCATGTTATTTAGACCTCCTTAGTGTGAGCACTACCCTGGGTTCTTGAAGCCCTTGGGAACTCTGACACACTGGGGTCCAAGGTTCTTTGCCATATTTGTCGTAATTCCTCAAGTTCTATCCCATTTGCTGAATAAGCCAATGGGTTTGTGTACATGGTTGTATTTCTGATGGCTACTGGGTTTTGGCTATAAAAATTGTCTTCTAGGCTGTTGTGAATTATGAGAATGAAGGCCTGGCATGGCCAGGTGTACTTTTGGGCCTACTGTAGGCTCCCTATAGCTATTCTACTTTGTAATTTATTCTATTCATTCTAGGTCTGTAATGATTCTTGTAATAACATTTTGGGGTATTAGTGAAATTGGGGAAGGGGCTTTTATCGAATACTTGCACTGAAATGGGTACAGATCCTGCTTATAGGTCCATTACCTGGTTAAAATATGCTATTATGTTCAAACTTGTTCAGCTATCATGTGTTAGAAATCATGCATATAGGTATTTTCTCTTTGCTCAAAACGTGTTACTTTCCAGTCATTGTAGAAATCCTGCATATAGGCTCTTCATTTGGATCGAATGCCTGCTCATTAGAGATTATGCCTATAGGATCTAAAATCAGTTTTAGAAATTATGCCTATAGGATCTAAAACCAGTTTTAGAGATCATGCCTATAGGGTCTAAAATCATTTTTAATTATAGCAATCATGCCTATGGGATCTAAAATCAGTTTTAGAGTCATGCCTATAGGGTCTAAAAATCAGCTTTAATTATAGAACTCATGCCTATAGGGTCTGAAACAGTTTATTAATTGTCCTACTCGTTTCTTTAATAGTCTTCAACGCTGTGCTAATCATCGTCGCCAGAAACCATGCCAATAGGACTCAATTAACCAATTCTGAACATAATCCTGCGATCACCATTATTAGTTGCTGCATGAAATGCCTAGATATCATGCCTATAGATTTAATCTCTTATACCTGTAATCAGTAGGCAACCATGTAGGTTTCAGAGATTGTAAACTGCCTGCTTATTAAAATCTAAAATCACATAGATCCTACCCATAGGTTTTTTCAACTTCAACTTGTTAAAATCTGCAACTGTCTTTGTTAATCAGGTTTTGCGTGCATTTGTTGTCTAAGTCCGGAGGCCAACTTGAGCCCTTATTTGCTTATAAGTGAAAGTTCAAAGTGTTTTGTATGTCGCCTAGTATTTTTCGTTTTTGAACAGCCTAAGTTAAGGTCTAGAACCGCTCTGAGATAAAGGTCCAAATGCCTCCTGGACCATAGGCATGGGACGGGTAGTGCACGCGTAGGGTACGACTTAGAATTGACTAGTACGCTTTAGGTAAACAACTTAAAGATAGTAACTGGGTAGCAGGAGATGATAGTCTGTGCCCGCTGAATAATATGAGTAACACCCCACCTTGAGGGAGTTACAAAATATTATTTATGTTGCACGGGGTGATCCTTTAGGGTAAAAACTTAGGACCCCCCCCCCTCCATCTTGTCTTTCATCAATTATTTATGTTTAATAATAAACTTCCCTAATTCCTTGTTTTTTCTGTACTTGATCTCCTAGAATAATTCATATAATTGAGTTCGCCCGGACCCACAGTTGTGGACCTCAAAGAGTGCCTAACACCTTCTCTTGGAGGTGATTTCGAGCCCTTACTCGATCTTTGGTGGCACAGACTAGTCAAATATAGTTATCTGCAAATAGGTGCCCTAACGCACCTTAATCCGTTAGGTAGCGACTCTCTCTTTTAAAATCCTTTCTTAAAAGAGTTGTCACATGTCGAAACCCAATTTCGTGAGAAAAAGGAGCGCGACATCATGGCGACTCTGCTGGGGATATTTTTAGGCTCTTACCATTACGAACTTGGTCTACATGAATTATTCTCTCTCGACAAGCGTGTCATTATTATTTTGCTGTTACTTGAATACCCCGCTCCCATTTTTCCTTTTTAATGCTACATGCACATCTTCTTCCCTATTTCCCTTTTATGTGAACTCATATGCAACTCTTCGCCTAATTTGATTACAACTTGCATTTCCCCTTATTTCCTGATCATGTTCACTTGCTTCAAACCTTTTAATTTTGCTATATCATGTCTCTCCCCAATCCTTACCCCTTTATTTGCTTTATTCTCTCATTACACGAACTAACTTCTTCCCTGTTTTTCTTTCTTTCATGTCTTTACGTTTATTCAATACTGCATTTTCTGCTTTCAACATGCAAAAATACTTGACTCCGTGTTATTTTGTCTTTGCATAAAGCATGCTCCACATCATATTCCACTCGTGCGTATTGATACCATAGCGACACTTGATGAGTGTCCGCGCTCTTCCTAAACCACCCTTTAAATTTGGAAAAGCTTATTTGCGGTAAAACTAGTCGATCAGCGGTGCAATCGAAAGTCCGTGCCTTTCCCTCTCAAGTTGTCCGCTTGAGGGTACCAGTCTAAACTCTTCTAGAAACCCCATTCTAAAATCAACTATGCATGCATCATGTCTAAACCTAGTATGAGTTAGAACGCTGTCCGCGCAATAACTCACTAAGACAAGCCTTGTCCAAAGTCCACCGGGTTTTCCATAATCCCAATGGACACAATCACGATCTGTGCATTATTTGGAGAAAACATGCCAATATGTTTATCATTAACGTGTAAATAGCCAAATCTGGAGGGAGAAAGGGCTAGTACTTGTTTTGCAGAAATGAAGCACGAGGTCCCCAAGTTCAGCATGGTTCGGAATATCCCACCTTTGCTGCTGGATTGGTGGGAAAATCTCGCACCAAGTGACAAAAATCATCTGAAAAGAGTTCTTGAGAATTTACCCTCTTTGCTAGAATTCAGCCAAACAATGTACTGATCGAGGCCGCTACTATGTTCTGGGATGAAAAGAGGGTTATTTTCCATTTCGGTGA